ATGTGCTAGACTTTCGTTGTACATATCCGAACTGCCATTGTGTGAAAAAACAGTTATTTATGGTAAAATAGAGATGACAGTGTTGTGTGACGAAGATAGAAGAAAGTGAAGAAAAAAAGAACCGTAAATATCATGGGTAGCTGCAATCGTGGAAAAATAGAAGAGACCAGACAGATTTCTATAAAAGTTACTCAAGCCGACCGAAATAAAGAAATGTACTATAGAAAAGATATAATACACATGCACCGTTAATTTTCTTGAAGTAAGAACAGGTAAATTACAAATTAAAGATCTATACGCGTGGAAGATAGAAGACAAAAATTTCAATTTTCATCCGTATGATGCAAAACGAGTGAAGGTGAAAGAAGAAATGAAATGAAGGAGTAAAAAGAAAGATAGAAGGAAGAAATCTTCTAAATTATTAAATGAAAAGAATTTAATTTCAATTTCTGATTATTGAGCAGTTGAAAAAGATAAGAAAGCAAGGGTTAGAAAACAAATACGTGATGAATTAAAAGAGATTTTTTAAACCTTAATATGTGCCGTCGTTAAAGAGTGCAACATGTATCGACGCTAATAAAAATAAAAATTATAAATTAAAAAAATCTTCTCAAAATGGCAGATAAGAATAAGCTTTTACCCTGGCCGTTACTACCGTATTCGGCTAGTCTTTTGAATCATGTCTGGTACAGTCAGCTCGCATTAAACACTAGGTAAATAAAATAAATATAAGATTGATGTGTTTTTAGTTCCTTTTACTTTTTTAATTTTTTTCTAAAATTATTTAATTTAAAACAATAATAAGAGAATCGTTGCACCTATCAGATATATTACATCATTATGAATAAAAATTTCTTTATATAATTGATTATAAGAACATGCCATAGTGATTAAATTTTAATAATGTATAAGAAATAGTCTAATTTCTAATAGATAAATTGAAAAAAACTTGGATTTGTCGATTATAATGTCATTTTTTAAATATCTTTATGCGATGTAATGTCATTTTTTAAATATTTTTACGGATTTTTACGTCCCTCGAGTACTTACACGTGACTTTATTGCCTTCATTAAGATATATCGCTTATTATCGTGCGATATCATTAAATATCCGATTGGCTCTCGATATCCTTGATACTTACTACAACACTTATTGATTAAACATACACTCAACATCAAAAAATCATCACTAAATACTTTATGTTTACATGACAAGACGTATATTAAGCTCTCGGCGATGCAACGACTTTATAAGGTAATATATAATTCAATTGCATTTAATTTATATAATATATTACATAATATAATATAGATGCAATACATGAGAAAGAGAGAGAGAGAGAGAGAGAGAGAGAGAGAATCAGAATTATATAATTTGATCTAAATACTATAAACTATAAATCTTTACAAATAAAAGTATTTTCTAATACTTTTAACATGTATTAAAATAATTCTGCTTTAAAATTTAAGTTTTGAAGTCTTTTATTACTTATTTTATAGTTCTTTCATTACTATCTTTGTAAATTCAATTCTCGCTTTAATCTTTGTCCAAACGACGTAGCAATGCCTATTATCATTAAGATTATCCGAATACAATCTAAGAAACAAAATAAGAGAACAAATATAAGCTCACATTTATGTAAATTTGCCCAAGCACACATTATGTTCAGACTTTATATATCTATGGACTTTATTAATCATTCTAATATCAGTAATTTGGAACCTACAAACATGTAGAAGTTCATTTATAATTTTTATCTTGTTATCTTCATAAATATCGTACAATAAACAAAATATAACACAAAATACCATATACAAACTTCATATATTTTTTTATTGACTGAATATTTGGAGTATAATCGTTTATCGAATTATCTCTCTAATTTGGATAATTAAAATTCTATTGTATAAAGAGAAACTCTTTAGTGACAAAAATCATAATGATTTTCTGATAATAAAATTCAAATAATGTAAAAAATATTATAATTAGAAAAGATTGAAATCGCGAGCGATTTCAACGCTGGCACTTCCAAATAATTATCGGCTCTTTATAGGAACTTCAACGGCATCACCTTTCTGATATTTTAATTTGATTTTTGCATAATTCAAGTCAAAACGGCATATTAAAATAAATAAATAAATTAGACTCATTAAGTTTCTCTATGCATTATAAAACTCTGTTAAATAAAAACCGTCGTTGTAGTTAAAATCACGTTTGTAATTGAAAATTGAAATGAGTTAAAACATAACGAAAAATTATATTAAATAATTATTATCTCAACCCGTCGCAAACTTCTTGTGTCCATCAAAATTTTCAAACGGCGTCTGTAAAAGTGTGAGTTCAAAAAAGATTACTCAAAGCATCCGCACTTTGTATTGGGAATATATTGGAACGTCTAGCTAAACGTGACGCGATAATGGCTCATATGGCTTAGTAAACGGACCCAAAAATTTACTTCTATACATAGGTCCGAAGACAGGTTGATTGTAGTCAAACGCGCACAGGTATTGTGACCCTTAAAGACATTTCTTTAATCGGGTCCTGAAAAGGCCGGTCGTCACACAGCTTCCGAAGCCGAGTGACAAAAATTAAATCTTACCGAATCTTCTTAAAGAAGCGATCCAAAGGTCACAAAGATCCTAAAATACAAAGTATTGACTGTCCCACGCAGAATCCTCGCAAAATCACCATGTTCGCAAAACACACCTATCTTTGACTTCCATTCAAACTTGCTATGAATATACGATATATACGTTTATTAAAA